CACCGTGGGTTCCCCGTGCAGGTCGGCTGACATTGCCCTGGTGGCCGGCGGCAACCGGAAGCGCTGGATCATCGCCACGGAGAACATGGAGCAGGGGGACGTCATCATGAACTCTTCTCACATCGGCAGGATGGCAGGGGTGTGACAGGGCTGGGGGCGACCGTGCTGGCCCTGCTGGGGGCTCGTCAGCTGTGCCTTGCCCAACTCATCAGCTTCTCTCTTCCAGTGTTGGCCAAGGAAGGGGATGCCTACCCGCTGGGGGCTCTGCCTGTGGGTACGCTGATCTGCAACCTGGAGAGCCACCCCGGGAAGGGAGCGCAGTACATCCGGGCAGCCGGTGCGTCCCTAGGCAGGGTCCCGCTGTCTGTAGCCAGGTTTGGCTTTGTGCAGATGGAGAGGAGGGCAGAGGGGCACTGCTGTGGGTGGCCAGTGACAGGGAGTGGCTGTCCTCCCTTCATCACATGTCAGGGTGAAAAGCAGCCCTACAGAGAGGCTAGGACAGCTCGGTCCTGTTGCTTCCTGGTGATACCTTGAGGTCCTGTCTTCAGGAAGCTGTGCTGCACAAAGGGCAATGGCGGGGGCTTCGGGGAGTTCCTAATGTGGAGGTGTGCTTACTGCAGGGTGGGATACTTTGTCCTGCTGCTGAGGGCATCTGCCTCCTCTCCTCTTGCCTGCTGCAGGGACTTGTGGAGTGCTGCTGAGGAAGGTGAATGGGACGGCCATCGTACAGCTGCCCTCCAAGAGGCACATGCAGGTAGAGGAGCCACGCTGTCCCCACCAGTGTTCCATCCCTGTCCCAGCTGTGTCCCCCCAGGGAGGCCTGCAGCTCTTCTTTGTCCCCTAGGTGCTGGAGACCTGTGTGGCCACAGTGGGCCGTGTGTCCAACGTTGACCACAACAAGCGGGTGATCGGGAAGGCAGGCCGGAACCGCTGGCTGGGCAAACGCCCGCACACAGGCTTGTGGCATCGCAAGGGTGGCTGGGCTGGGCGCAAGATCAAGCCTCTCCCACCCATGAAAAGCTACGTAAACCTGCCGCGGGTCACAGCACAGGAGTGATGCTGGAGGCCAATAAAGTGTTCACTACACCACTGCTGCTACGTTTCTGCTGCTTTTTCTGCACGGGGCCTTGGGGTGCTTTTCCCATGGGTCAAGTTTGGCTGTGTTCAGCCCATGGTGGGACTGCTGCTCCCCAGCCCCCACTTCTGCCACCAGCTGTGGCTGCCCCATTCCCTTGCTGCCCAAACCTATTGCCCCCCAGGTTCCATACTGCACCACCCTCCCACCCCATACAGCCCTTAGCTCTCTGTGTGGCCACTGCTGTGCCCTGTTCCTGAGCTGCCTCTGTCCCACAGGATCACAGGATGGTAGGGGTTGGAAGGGACCTCTGGAGATCATCTAGTCCAACCCCCCTGCTGGAGCAGGATCACCCAAAGAAGATCACACAGGAACTTGTCCAGGTGGGTTTTGAATGTCTCCAGAGAAGGAGACTCCACAACCTCTCTGGGCAGCCTGTTCCAGGGCTCTGTTACCCTCATGGTAAAGAAGTATTTCCTTAAGTTTAAGTTGAACGTCCTGTGTTCCAGTTTGAGACCACTGCCCCTTGTTCTGTTGCAAGGCACAACCGAGAAGAGACTGGTCATATACTCCTGACCCCTGTCCTTTAGATATTCATAAGCATTAGTGAGATCCCCCGTCAGTCTCCTCCAGGCTAAACAAACCCAACTCTCCCAGGCTTTCGTCTTATGGGAGATGCTCCAGTCCCCTCATCATCACAGTGGCT